GCAAGGCAGTGCAGTGATGTGCATCTTGGGAGTCAGACAACCTGGTTTTCAGTCTTTGTTCAGGTACTGTGTAATGTACCAGCAAGTCATAGACTAATAGAGTGTCAGAGCTGGAAAAGTCCTTAGAGATCATCTAATCTCTTTTCCACACAATCGACATGGAAATGAACTTTTGGAACATAAACCATTTATAAGATAAGAAATTACTTGTATTCATTACTTCAATGGATCCATGATTTCATCAGCATAGTACCTTCCTTTCCATAAACCTTCCAAAGAGTTTTTTTTTTTTCACAAAACAAAAAACAAACAAAAAAAAGAAAACAGACTCCTTCCTCTGGTTGTTTGAATGCTTCATCGATAGTGGTGCAGTTCTCAGTCTATCCATTTTGCTACATGACTGGCCCATCTCTATTGTGTCCTGGATAACATCTTTGATGCTACTTCTCGTATTCAAGTCTTTGTTGATAATGTACTGAGCATGACTCCACCCACCATGCATGTTGCCTTGATCTTTTGGCCATCTACAGTTTTGACAGTTTTTAAATTGTGAGGTTTACAGGTGTCATAGATGTAGAACAGGAAGGGTGAACATCTAGTCTAAACCCCTCAGGTTACAGATGAGAAAATGAAGGCCCAGATATTCCTCTATTCTTACTCCATTTTTATTCAGGATTATAATTTCATATATTCTCAAGATTTCCCATTATTCTTTCTCAGATGTATCTTCAGGATAATATTTGTCTTTGGCTGAGCCATGTTTCACGGAGGAGCTTGTTCAGAGACCATTGAGTCTGTATTTTACCAAGCCCAACTGTTGGGTAGCCACGTTTGCCCCTTTAAGTCCAGCTTCACTTGAACACATTGGATAACATGCCAATCTAGAAATCTGGAATTTTACTGTCCACTATCCCTTCATCGTTTCGAGGGGCCTGCCTAGTAGAGGGGCAATTAGGGGAATTAGGAGAAACGGGTTTGAATCCTAATTCCAATACATTCTAGACCTGTGACCAGAAGTAAATGCTCTGTGATGTAATGGACAAGTAGCTAGATTTAGAGTCAATGCTTGGAGTTCACCTTCCAGCTCTCCTTTTTTTACCATTCTTTGTGATTATGGGCAAGTCACTGTGGCTCTCTGGGCCTCCGTTTTCCAATCTTGAAAAGGAAATGATTTTGAATAAAAATGGAGTAAGAATAGAGGAATGTCTGGGACTTCATTTTCTCATCTGTAACCTGAGGGGTTTAGACTAGATGTTCACCCTTCCTGTTCTACATCTATGACCCCTGTAAACCAGTGAACCTCCCAATTTAACTAAGTGATCTCTATGATTTTTTTCCTACTCTCAATCTCATGATGATAACAATCTCTTCTTCTCTATGAGCCTTAAATTTTCTCATCTGTAAGGTGGGGAGAACAATGCTTGTACTATCCACTTCACAAAGTACTTAGGAAAAAAGCATTTTTGTAAATGTTAAAATACTATGGAATTGTGTGTGATTATTATTAGGTTGGAGGTAATGATAGGAAAGTATTCAGTTACATCAGGGTCCTCACTAGATTTAAAATGAGAGGGCCTATGTTTGAATCCTGGCTCTGCAATCTGTTATTCTGGGCAAATCAGTTTCCTTGTCTGTAAAAGGAGGGGATTGGCTAGATAATTTTTTTGGATTTGTCCTTTATTTTTATTTTTTATATATTTTCTACTTCTTTTTAAAAAATTATTATTTTTTTGTTTTTAACATTCACTTTTATAAGGTTTTGAGTTCTAAATTTCCCCCCTTCCCTTCCCTACCTCCTCTCCAACATGGTATGCAATCTGATATAGGCTATATGTGTACAATCATATTAAACATATTTCCACATTGGACTAGATAATTTTTAAAGTCTCCTTTCCAATTCTAAATCCTATCATAGTTTAAAATCTCCTCATGTCCTGGGTATTCTGGGGAGTTCATCCATTCATTCATTCACCACTCATTTATTAAAGACATTACTGTATGCAGAGCACTGTGCTGCTTCTTGTTAGGAGGAAATATGAAGCTTAGGTAAGACAAGCTCCCAAGCCTATGGTCCAGTAGAGGGATAAGACACAAACACGAATAACCCTAATATGATCTCATCCTGGATGAGAGGATTCTACATTTTATTGTGGTTTGTTAATTTGCTATGTTGAACCTGTGTTTCGGATCTGTTGCTTGCCTGGGTACACACCTGCCACCATTTTCTCACTTGGTCTTCAAGTGAGATCTTCTTACTGGAGAACTCACTTTGTCTGGTGGTGGTAAATCACCTAGAAGGGGAGGGAAGCAAGCTCACAAGCAAAGTAGAGGAAATCTAAGGCAAGGTGGTTTTCATTAAGGAAATTGATACCAAATGCTTACGCCTCTACTCTCTGTTTGTTCCTATATCTCACTCTGGAAGGCACAATAGGTAGGGGTGGTCTTCTTCCCCAGCCTTGCGTCAGCCCCTAAGTCTGTGGTGTTAGCTGAGGCCAGACTCCCAAAGGGAGTTTAGCAGACGTGGCTCACAAATGAGGCTTACAGAGTCAAGCCAGAGTCATTAAGTAGCTGCTTTTCTATGGGAATGCAAGGAAATAGTCTTCTTATATTGTTCACATTATGAATAATAACCCAGTGCCTTTCATCTGTAGGACTGAATGGTTTTACAAACATTAATTAATTCCTGGGGCACCTTTATGAGTTAGGCAGCTATTATTATCCTCATCTTTAGAGATGAAGAAACAGAATGGGTAAAGTAACTTGCCTTAAGGCCAGGGACCTAAACCATGATGAAATCTACCAGAGTACCCAACTCATTCTTAGCTTCTTGACCCTACAACATTTCTATATTGCATCATTCCAGCCTGGAAGTATAATTTCTTTCTTATATCTCATATCTTATATTTCTTATATTGGCGTCTCTTATATTTTCTTGCTCCTGACTTCCCCCTTTCTTGACTTAAAAAGAAAAATTGTCCTCATTGAACCAAGGAACTTTTCTTTGCTATATTCACAATGATGTAGAATATGGAGAGGAAGAGTTGAGGTGGGAGTGGATTATTCTTTTGTGCTGAGAGAAACTATGAATAGGCCAATTAGAATCACTCAAGGGAGGTATGCAAAGCATTCCACTGTTAGGCTGTATCTTCTTTTGACATAATTATGGGTCCTTGTCTGGCTTTCCTCCAGGGTGATTTGTGGAGGTGCCAGCAAATGTCAAAACACAAACACTTCCTCCAATTGACAGCCCTAAACCATTAAGAGATTTCCCAGATCTGGGGAGGAATGTCCTGCTTTTAACCATTTGTGCTCAGATTACAAAAATAGCCCTTTCAAAGTCATCCTATCTGATTGAATTCTGAGAGCCGTGGCCAAAATTAGGTGGCTGACTGACACAAGCAGAGTATGTTTAGACAGCAAGAGGGAACTGCGTGATCAGAATGAGTACTTGCAATGCTCAACATGTACACAATTAGCTCACTTTGCTTATTTTGCTAGCATCTGGTTCAGGAGTTTGGAGGCTCTGCAGGTGACTGAGTTTAACAGCCCATAACGCTGGTTCGGATGTCATTCTGATGCCTCCTGTTAGAAATGTCTGCAGTTTGCTTGTTGCTTTGTCATTTCATAAAAGGAAAGGCAAATGGTGAACGTGATTGCCTAATTGAGTCTACCCTTACAAGTTAAGTTTTTTTCTCCTGTATCCAGGTTAGAAAAGGAAGGTCTCCTGAATATGAAATGAAAAGGAACTTGTTTTTGTTTTTGTCCTAATTAAAATTAGAATAACAAAATAGAATTTCTCTTCGAACACTTTAAATTCATTCATTGAACTTATTGTTTCAACTAATATACAACTCAGACTTTTTGCGTTATCATTATTAATATTAATCATTTACCAAACTCTTCCTTTGATGTCTGACTGTGGTGTAGAGATGATCTCGAGTCCTCTGAGGCAATGACCGAAGAGCATATGCTCTGGTAATGCCTACCAATACAGGGAAACTTCAAGTACAGACCCAGTGGCAGGACCGTATGACCGTCTTGCAAAGATTTGTCTGGCTAAATTCAAAAAGGCTTGCTACCAGGCCGAACACAAGGTGGTGAGCTTCCTGCCCTAGCAACTCTCAAAGACCAAGCTATAGAGGGGTTTTAATCTGCCTTAGTGGAAGGATCATGGGCTCATAGACTTAGAGCTACAGAAAATATTAAATCCAATGTAATCTAAGCCCTTACCATGTGCCAGGAACAGGGGCATCAAGGTGGCACACTGGATAGAGTGCTAGGCTTAGAATCAGGAGGACCGGAGTCAAAATTCGGCCTAGGACACTTGACACTAGCTGTGTGACCCTGGGCAAGTCACTTAACCCTGATTGCCTCACCAAACAAAACAAAACAAAAAAAAGCAGTAGAGCCAAGACGAGTCCAAACCTTCTTAATCTTTACTCCTGGGTTCATTCCCTTGAACCATCATGATGATGATGATGATGATGGTGATGATGATAGCTTACATCAGTAGAAGAATAATAATAACAGTTGACATCTTTTAAAAGACCTTATGGTTACAAAGCACTTTTGATATCAAATTTTCACTCAATTGTTCCTAGGCAGCTAGGTGGTACAGTGTATCGAGCACTGGGCCTGGAATCAGGAAGACCTGAGTTCAAATAGGACTTTAGATACTTACTAGCTATATGACCCTGGGCAAGTCACTTAACCTCGGTTTACTTCAGTTTCCTCATCCATAACAAGAAACCTATCTCCCAGGGTTGTTGTAGACATCAAATAAGGTAATATTTGTAAAGTCCTTTGCAAACCTTAAAGGCGCTATATAAATGCTAACTCTTTTTATTCACCATGCCAACTTCTTAAAACTGTCAGATATTTGCCATTTTAAAAGCTTGTTTCTGAAGACTTAGTCATTTTAGATTGTTATATTTTGTTTAGTTTGCTTATTTGACCTTGTTTTGAGTTGCTTGCTTACCTTTTCTTTCTTATTTCCATAGGTATTTTATTAGCCGTGTGCCAGGCTTTGGAAAATACAACATCTGCCTTGAGTGGTGAGTTGTTAAATCTTCTGTATTAAGTTCATTTCACAGAGGTAATAAAAAGGAAACCTTTCCCTACAAACTAACTCAAGTCTGAACTCTGAACACCCCACAGCTTCTTCCTGAGATCGATTTCCCCCTTCCCTTCTCAAGTCCAATGGTTGTCCTCAAGCTTATCACATTCTCTGATTTAACTATGTTAGTATTTCAAAGATGTTTTATTTCATTGATCACTCCCACCATCGATGTAGACTGCAATCTTGGTTTTCTTTGTAGATGGTCTTTATGAGCGTCATTTGGTAAAGAAAATTTCCTTTTTCTTATAACCAACCCTCTAGTGATCCACCTCTCTGTATTCAGCAAAGCTGGACCTTCAAAGACAGATTCTCAATTTTTTACTGAGCATATAGAGCTAGGTCCAAATAAGTATAAATACAGAATCTTCTGAGGTTATTGCATTATTCAGATTTGAATGATTTGAAGTTATATGAAAAATATGATCATTGGTTCTAACCAATGGAAATTGTTAGTTCTAGTTGTAGCAATGGAAATATGCTATGTGAATTCAAATGATAGGATTATTTCAAGGGATTTCTTATTCATACTAATATAAGACAACACCAATATAAGATCTAGCTGTACACCCTAAGTCTTGGTGATGTATCAGAGGAGGACTTTAGTGGAGGAATTGTACTAGAGCCTTGGGAACTGAAAGATTTGAGTTTTCTTCTTGGGGTTCCATTACCAGAGAGAGTACTCCCTATCCACCTTCCCCTTTTATCACCCCTTATGTAGCCAGAGAGTTGGTAATGGGGGTGAGGGGATGAATACAGGCCCATGCCAGGAAAAAACTCTGCTTTTAGAATAATTTAATTCAATCCAACTAGCATTTATTAAAGGCATACTATGTGTAAGACAGGGCAGCTAGGTGACTCCGTGGATAAAATTCTGGACCTGGAGTCAGGAAGACTCATCTTCCTGAGTTCAAATCTGGCCTGAGACACTTGCTAGCTGTGTGACCTGGGCAAGTCACTTAACTAACCCTGTTTGCCTCAGTTTTCTCATCTGTCAGATGAGCTAGAGAAGAAAATGGCAAACCACTCTAGTATCTTTGCCAAGAAAATCCCAAATGGGGTCGTGAAGAGTTGAACATGACTGAAAAACAACTGAACTGAGCAATGTTCTAAAGAATATTCATCATCTTGTGTTTCTAGCTCCTGTTCCCCAGCTCCTATAAATTCCTTCTAACCTGCAATGATCTTTCTGGCCATCATCTTGTTCAAGGACTCTTAGAGCATTAAAACCCTAGGACTCTATTTTAACATTTGAAGAAAGGTAGTCTCAGGACAAATAAAATGAAGTACAGTGCTACCTTACCCACAGGGTAGTAAAAGAGACATGAGTGGAAATTGGAAATTGGGTCAAGGTAAATTTAGATAAATTACTCAATGATAAATCCTTGACTTGCCTTTGGTAATTAGTGATGAATATTTAGAGTTCAGGGTACAACCCTAACCTTCTGAGGGATGACATCATGGAAAGTCTATCATATACTCTGCCGTCATCCAATGGAGAGGCCAAAACTTCCTTAACAATTAGAACTCCCCCAAAATAGAATGGGCTGCCAAAGGAGGGAGTGAGCTCCCCATCACTGGAGATTTACTAGGGGAGGTCAGATGACTACTTGTCAGAAATGTTGTAGAGCAGATTCCATTTTAGGTAATGATTAAAGACTAAGTAACGTCCAAGGGCCCTCCATGTTTTTCATTTTTGTCATCCAGGGTGGCATTTTTATAATACACTTTCAAAACTTCCATGGTTCTAAGATTCCATCCCTTCCCTTCCCTCCAGTTTTCCTGTTAAGGTGACAGCTGTTCTTTCCGCCTGTTCTTCAGTTCAAACCACACAGAGAGGAAATGGGGTCTTCATCAGCAGACATTTACTGAGCCCTTGCTAGATTGTTATTTAGTAGTTTTCAGTCATGCCTGACCCTTCGTGACCCCATTTGGGGTTTTCTTGGCAGAGATATTAGAGTGATTTGCCATTTCCTTCTCCAGCTCATTTTACAGATGAGGAAACTGAGGCAAACAGACTGAAGTGACTTGCCCAGGGTCACACAGCTAGTACTTGCTAGGTATTGCAAAGGTAATGGGGTGAAAAAAAGAGTGCTCTGCTTGGGAGTCAGGAAGCCTGAGTTTTAGCCCCAGCTCTGTCTCTAATTCATTATATATCTTTAGGTGAGCAATTTATTTTTTCGGGAAATTTCCTCATCCATTAGAAGTTAGACTAGATGATTTCCAAGGGTCCATCTAGCTTTAAAATTTGTTTGATTCTAAGTGTTAGACTCTAGAGGTTCAAATAGATTTCAGCCATGATTCTTTCCCTCAAGTGGTCTACAGTCTACCTGGGGAGGAAGGCCATGCTTCCAAAAAGATAAATAATAAGAGCATAGTATACATTAGAAGGTAATGTGGCATAAGGGAAAGGACACCTAGATTTGGAATCTGAGGACCTGGATTTGAATCCTGGTTCTGCTCCTTAGCTGCCTATGTGGCCCTAGGCAAATCCTTTTCTCTCTCTGGGTCTTCCCTCAAAGATTACCATCATTTTATCCTATCCATATATTATTTGTGTATAGTTGTTTGTTTTCAGGTTGTCTCCCCTTTTAAACTGTAAGCTCCTTGAGGGCAAGGACTGTCTTTTGCCATTCTGTTTATAGCACAGTGCCTGGCACCTAGAAGGTACTCAGTGAATACTTGCTAACTTGCCTTGCCTTGACTGGGCCCAGTTTCCTCATCCCATCACAATGAGGGCTGTGGGCCAGGTGGTCTCTGTGGCTTCTTCAAGCTCCATATCCTCTAAACCAAGTGCTGATGTATATAGATGATAAAATGATGTAGGAGAAGAAACAAGGTCATGGGGTTTAGTACATAAAATCACTTCTGGGTGTGTATGTGAGGGTTTTTTTGGGGGGTGGGGAAAGGGTTGCTAATTTTTAAGGATCATGAGATCATCAATTGAGAGCTGAAAGGAATCTTAGATATCATTTAATTCAACCCTCTTATTGTACAGATGAGGAAACTGAGACCCAGAGAGATTCAGTCACTTGTTTAAGGTACCTGGAATAGAAAGTTGTAATCAGTGCTTGAGTCAGGGTTCTTTGACTAAATCTACCATACCAATATGGAGGGAAACAGCACCTTGAGGATAGGGTGGGGGATGCAGCACCCAAGAACATCAAGTAATCCCTCCCTACTATGTATTGTTCCCTATCTCTTAAAATGCACATTTTAGTGTAGCTTGGGAGGGACAGAATGCACTGTGATTACAAAGATGTTAGGTTGATGCTTACCTAAGCCTTAGGAACATTACATAGCTCGCAGGCTGCTGGGCTGGTTCTCATATTTCAATAAGTCTAAGTGTAATGATTGAGAGAGGGTATGGTCGGAGGCCTAGGAGATGACACTCCACTCTGCCTGGTGGTGTGCTCCATGCTCTGGGCAGTGGTCTTTCTAGCCAAGTATCCCCTCTCACCCCTCTGCAAAATCCAGTGATATGAAGATACATCTGGGGAGCTCTTAGGAGGGCTGATTAATTTACCATAAGCTTTTTTGCTGTTCTTTTAAAAGCAGCTGCTGAAGGGAGCCAAAGAAATTACTGAGTATGATTCTTCATTGACATTTCAAATTTTAATTATCTTGGTGGTGGTGGTGGAGGAGATGGGAACGAGATTGGTGGTGGGACCTGGGGAAATCAATTGAGTTTGATAAAAGGAGAACCTGAATCAGGAAAAACTTCTTTGGAGGTTGTACTTGTTTGGAAATTAGGAGAATATGGGTCAGCCAGCCAGTCCTCTGTTTATTGGGCATCTTGCTCAACAAAAGCTTTTCAGAACCATGAGGCTCTTCCCCATTCCATTGTCTGGGGACAAAGAAATGAGCTGAAGTCATTCTAAAATTAGAAGACTCACGTGCCCTACCCAGGTACATGGTTCACCTGTTCCGAATCTGGGAATGAAGCACAATGTGCAAGAAACTTGGCAAGCTGCATCTGGAGGATGAAACTACTTTAAAAAAAAAAAGGCATTAAGGGTCTGGGAGAGATGGGCAGTGGAAAAGAGCTGTCCAGAGAAAGGGGAAATTCCTCAAATCTCTATTCTGATTAATAATAGGAATATTTTTCTTATTTTCTCAAACAGAAGTATAAAGTTTTAGCTGCATGTGTGATAAGTACTTTTTGATATAACCATAGAATTTCAATTTAGTCCAACCCTGATTTTACAGACAGTAAAACCGAGCTCAGCTCAAAGATGTGAAGGATTGATTAGGATCAAGCTAGTGAGGAGTAAGTCAAGATTCAAACCCAGGAGTTCTGATTCCAAATTCAATATTCTTTCTATATTGCCGGTGCCAGATGAACTGCTCTTTGCAAGAAAAAGATGCTTTGTAGTGGAAAACAAAAACAGACACAAACACTGGCCTGGAACTTTGGACAACTCCATGTGAATTTAGGCTCCTTGGGATTTAATTTCCTTATCCAGAAAATAAAGGGGTTGTATTAGGTGATCACTCAATAAACGATCAATAAATGTTCACTTTAAGTACCTACTATGTGTCTGACGCTGTTCTGGGGAAAATAAGGCAATGATTCCTCAAGGAGATGACATTCTATTGGGGGAAACAGTACATGCCCATAATAAATAAATATGAAATATAGTCAAAGTAATTTTGGTGAGCAGACACTAGCAATTGGGTGGATCCATAAGGTTTCCTCCACTCCCAACTCTAATATTCCATGATTCAAAATAGGTTTACTCGTTGCAGTCAACCCAAAACAGAAGCAGTAAGGGACAGAATGGTGTCATATGTTTCTTTTTCTCCAAACTCATGAATCCTTTCAATCTTACTCGCATACTTTATATTTAAGGAATCTCATAGGCACAGATAAGAGGCAGGTCTTACAAAAGGGTCACAAGCTACATAATAATACTCATAATTATAGCTTACCTTTCT